ATGCAGAAATGATTGCGAGGGCACTTGGGTTGGATCAAGGCACGGCGGGGTGCAAGGTAGCAGGCGAGAAATGGCCCGAGGACGAGCAGAACGCGAAGCCATAAAGCATGGCGACACTTGGAAATATCAGACATTGGCGGCCCGAGACACCCGCCTAACACAGGACAGATCCGACATTCACAATTCTTTTGAAGCAGAAACACGGTCGATATTTGTCAACGTTTATTGTAGGATCTTGGCGATGGTTTCTGCAGTTGGGGGAGTCATTGGAAGGTCGCGACAAGAAATGGCACGCGTGTAAGTACCGAGGGTCAACCTCGAAACTCGCCGCGCGCACCAGCACCGATCTCGCAGGATGTCGCAGGACTAGGGGATCCACGTGTGGAGGAGTAGTGATGTCGGTCTTACATGTGGCGCGGTCATGGAGCACGACCCAGTTAGAGGCAGCACTGTCCCCAGGAGAAGCAGAGTAGCACGGCATGGTAGAAAGATGCACCACTAGCAGTCGGGCGGAAGACAGTCATGAGAGATTTCGGAGCCCGTCCGACATCGAGCTCAAGGGAGATGCGGCCTCCGCGATCGCCGTTGCCAGTGGGCGCCGGTTGGGTACATCAGGCACATTGGTGCGCGTCAGTTGTTGTTGCAAGACAAAGCAGGGCGTGGATGCATCAAAGTAGACAAAGCAGGCGCTAACTCAATCGACTATACGCATGCGCAATTCCCACCCCTCCACTTCTCACCCGTGTCTCGGGCACCTTGCAGTGGCAGGCGCGGGGAAGTCGGCGGATGGGCCAAACCGATGGCCCGGCGAACCACCGACGGCGAGGAGGCCGAGCTCACGAGGGAGAACAAGGGGGCCAAGGAGATGAACGACGAGCTGTGCAGGGGCGAAGCGACGCGCCAGTCTGAGAGGATGGCTAGGAAGCGCGACAGCGCCAACCTCTGCGACCAAGGCGCTTTCGAGGTTAATGAGGTGCGCATATTGTCATGTGAAGAACAGGTCGCGCGCGCTCAGTTCAGTCAGGTACTGCAAGAATCACAGGAAACCTTAGGGCCATCAGCCGTCTGGCTGGCGACCAAGGCGAAGTCCGGCGGGAGTTGCAGCCGGGGCTCCGGACATCGCGACGCAGTTTGCAGCGGCGCCGCCTAACCCGCCGGGCACCTCGAGCGCGTCGGGCCCCGCTGAGCCTCCTGGGCCGACCGCGCCGAAGAGAGCCGCGAGCTTCACTGGCAAAGCGACCGCGGCCAATCTCCCAACTGAGACGCCAGAGCGCGAGGATGACGCAACGAATGGCGGAGGCAAGGGTGAGGGAAACAAGCGAGAACAGCGCGTCCCTGGGCGAATCCGAGTCAGATTCATGATCTTCGGGGGCACCGCGTCGGGCCCCCCTTCGCCGCGCCGTTCGCCGCGCCCGATGAGCCGAGAGACCCGCGTCGTACACGCGAGATTGCTACTCGGAGCGTGCTCAGGGGCACCTCATTGAGGCGCCTCGTTCGTGCCTGCCGCCTGGCCACCGCCCTAGACGCGATCCTCATTGCCAAGGGCCGCCGCGCGGGTTTCTTACATACCGGGGGCAATCAAGACGCGGTTGGGTGACCGCATCGGGTCTGGGTTGACCTTGAGACGCGCGTGCTTGAAAACCCACTGGGCAGAGTCAGCGCGCGGGAACATTGCGCCAGTTCCCAGGAGTCGTTCGAGAGGCTTCACGGCTGTGCGTTACTCCATGCGGTCCCTGGCCCAACTCAAAGGCCAACTGGAGTGGCGTAGCGCGCTCGCAAAGCGCCGCAGGGAGGAGCGCGACAGCTGGCGATGGAAATCCAGGCGTGCTTCCCAGGTGACCGAGAGGGGTGCCCTGGTCCTCGGGTGCCTGGCCACATTCCACGCCAGGTCGACATCGACCGTCCGCCCGAGTTCAGGGAGCGAGAGCGCATTGACATGGTCACCATTTGTTTCGTTGCCCCTTGGTCGGGACGCCACCACTTTGGCCGTAACAACGCAATAGGTTGGCTCAACAATCAGTCACGACCATGGTGATCTCCTGGCGGGCGCGTTTGCAGCCAGGCTTTTGACGCGCGATCTTGCGAAGGGGTCCGTCGACACCGGCGACGGCTGGGAAGTGTTCGGCGCTGACTTGGGCGCCACTGCCAGGAGGGCTCACGCGTGCGAGACCGACTTGGTGGGCGCACTTGAGTTAATTTGGAACCGAATGACACTGATCGTAACCATGTGCACAGCAGAAGCATCAAGGCCGGCGCAGATCAGGAGGGCTGATGACTGGGCCCACCCGTGTCCCCGTCAGCCGTGGCCCCCGCCTGTTGGAGAAGATCTTCTGGCAGGCCCAAATACCTTCGGGTGATTGAGTCCAGTGGGCCATTCATTGACGAGTCATGGGCGGTCAACCCCAACACGGGATGGGTGTGCGAAGAAAAGACGATCAGCCGTGTTCAGCGGCGGACTGCGCCGATCCTCAGACACCCCGACGTCGCCTACGTGGAGGCACTCGGTGGGTTTAACGGTATTAACATGCATTCCGCCAGCCTGAGCTCGGAACGGATCATGATGTGGCCATTGGAGCGTAGCGTGACACCGGCGAAGCATATACGACAGGCTCGTGAAGGACAACGCGAGGGCGCGCGTGATGACCACGAAGCGTAAACGCGAGGAGTACGCGCGCGCAGACGCATCCAAGGGCCAACGGAATGGTGAAAGGCCTACGTCGTCATCCGTCGGGGCAAGGCGGGCGTCATCCGTCGGGGCAAGGCGGGCTTGAGTGACAGCTAGCCATCGGACATGTCCTTACCTCTTTTCGTTATAAGGTCGGACGCGAGTTCAACCAGGAATGTGTCGAGAAAATTGTTATGACCGCGCTGGTGTGGCAAATAAAATTCCAGCGGGGATCCCGCTGTACTTCTAGCCATTTTCCGCGCTACTTGGTCGCTAACGTTGTGTGTCTCGTTGAATTCAGCTCGCGCCCACCGTATGCTACGCATAGTTTGTTTTTGTAGCCAGCCACTCGCCGCTACCATCTTCCTTTCAAGCTACATGCTTTAACGATGCACGAATGTTGCCCGACCTAGCACTCTAGGTCGAAGGGGGGCGTTTCGATATCCGTCCCATGCTAATGTTCAACGACCAGCGTTTTGCTCAAGCAATGTAGCCGCCATGTGGCGGTGTGGCACAGCATGTGTACTCGATCGTTCGCCCGCTCATTGGAAAATTGAGTTCGATGTTCATTACCATTGTTTTGTTGAGTTTACACGAGAAGGTGAAAACGAGATCGAGTTGGAGGGGTGGGAGTGGAGGTGGGTGCAGCGCGGCGCGATGGGTTGACCCTGCCGTTTTCTGTTCCGCTTCGGTCTTCTCCCCGTCCCCCATCCAGCGACGGCTGGCGGTGACGACGTCAAGCCCAAATCCGCTCAGCAACGGACCGCGCGGTGACCTTTCTACGGGTCCATCCCGAACCGTTTTTCGAGTCGCTCGGGCGCAAGCAACGAGGGGGGCAATTAGTTGAGGGCGTTGGGTGGCGCAGTTGTCTGTCGTGTCTTCCTTCCTCCACTCCACCCAATCGGTGGCACAATGTCTGCTCCTTGATTCGCACCCGCATGCTTAGCCCACTGTCGCGTTGCCCCAGCCATTTTACGGGCCAACCTCTACGGTTTGACTTTTGGCTGGGCTGGGGGAAGTATGGGGGGAGGGGGCCAGTGACGTCACGATTGGTGCCAGCGCCGTTTGGGAATGCGTAAGAGGGGATAGTTCCCAGACGAGACGGCTTCGGCGCGAAGCGTGACGTGACCAGGGGGGAAAGGGGGGGGCAGGCGGGGCCTGTCACGTGCGTATCGCAGTATGTGTGTCTGTACGTCCTGATTGTTTGTGTGTCAGCCGGTCCGTCTTGGGCGCGGAGTGTCAGCATGGGGCCGAGACAGGGCCGCCTCGGAGCCGCCTCCGTGCGCTGCGGCCTCTCCACGTCCGCCCGAACCGCGCCTTGCCGTGGCGACGAAGGCATCCACGACACGCCCATCAGCCTCTGACGCGACGACAGCGACCACGACTGCGACCACGATCTCTGATATTCGGGGAACAATTTTTTGATTCGCGGGTCGAGAGCGCACTTCTTCCGGTCGAGAGTAAGCGGGTCGCGCGAAGCCTGAATTAGCAGAGGGGGGAACAGAAGGAGAGGCCTCACGTACATGAGCATGACATCCGTGCGGATTTCCCGGGGCGGTGCTGGGGCCCCCCCGGGCGGCGCCTCGGGCGCCGCCCGTGGGGCGCCCTGCACGCGCCAGGGAGGGGGCTCCAGCGCCAATCCAAGAGATTCGCGCGGACCTCAGAGTGTTTATGTTTATATCTCTGCTCTCCACGCGCCAGGGAGGGGGCTCCAGCGCCAATCCAAGAGGTTCGCGCGGACCTCAGAGTGGTGTTTATGTTTCTATCTCTGCTTGCTCGCCGAAGGGCAGGAACAAGCAATCCCTGACCCCCGTATAGCGGCATTCTCAGAACAGTCCTGGGCGTGTTTCTGCGCTGTCCTGCCCGGCGCGACTAACCGCAGGGTTCCGCTTACAGGGCTGGTTTGTTATGAGGGTGGCTCTTCCACCCCTAGGTACCAACGACGACGACCAGGTCGGCGCTGCCACGACGACGACGACGGCCACGGCGACGACGACGACGACGACGACAGCGACCACGACGACCACGAAGACAACCACGTCCACGACGACGATATCGACGACCACGGCGACGACGACCGAGAAAGATCACATTACAGGGACCAGGACGACGATACCGACGACGACGACCACGACGACCACGACCACGACTACCGCCACGACCACGACCACGATGGACGACGACCACCACCATACTAGGCATGCTCGGCGACGACGACGACGACAACGATGATGACGATAACGACGCGACGACGACGACGACGACGACGACGACGACGACGACGACGACGACGACGACGATAACGACGCGACGACGGCGGCGGCGGCGGCCAGAGGTCGGCGGCCTGCGACCTCGGGGAGGCCCTGCTCTCGGGCGTGGCGGCACACTTCCCAGACGCCATCGAGCGGGTCCAGCTCGGGTGCCGGGCCTCGCCCCCTGCCCGGCGGGGGGCGTCCATCGGGGCCCCCGAACGGTGTGGTGACCACCCCGTGTTGTGAGTCAGTGGGGATTCGGGGCCACCGCACGGTCTCGGGACCCGGTCTGTTCCGAGGACGTCTCGGGCGACCGGGGCTTCCAGGGTCCCCGAGGGTCCCAAGGCTGTGCGGTGACAGACCGTGCGGTGAGGTTTCTTGGGATTCTGGGGTCACCGCGAGGTCTGTCTCCGATGCCAGGCCACACCCCCTCCTTCGAAGCGGTGAGGTTTCTTGGGACTCACGGGTCACCGCGAGGTCTGTCTCCGATGCCGGGCCGCGCCCCCTCCTTCGAAGGGCAAAGCAGCATGAACACAATGCTTCCGAGCTCCGTGCGGAGCTCCGTGATGGGCGTTGGGCCGCCCCTGGCGCGCTCCGCGCGCCACCCCCGATCCAAGAGAGCTGCGCGGGCCTCTGAGAAGTCATGCTCATGCCATCTTCGCTCCTCTAATCGAGGGGCGTCCGCGAGCGGGGGGGAGATGGAGGAGGAGGATGAGGAGGAGGCGGAGGAGGAGACGGAGGAGGAGGAGGAGGAGGAGGAGGAGGCGGAGGAGGAGGAGGAGGCGGAGGAGGAGGAGGAGAGGGAGGAGGAGGAGGAGGCGAGGAGGAGGCGGAGGAGGCGGAGGAGGAGGAGGAGGAGGAGGAGGCGGAGGAGGAGTAGGAGGCGGAGGAGGAGGAGGAGGAGGAGGAGGACGACGAGGAGGAGGAGGAGGAGGCGGAGGAGGAGGAGGCGGAGGAGGAGGAGGCGGAGGAGGAGGAGGCGGAGGAGGAGGAGGAGGCGGAGGAGGAGGAGGAGGCGGAGGCTCCGTAGCCATTTTGGCTCAAGCCAGCTCCCGCGCGGGTGGTTCAAGGGCCCGCTTCTGGCGAAAGCCTATCGGCGGCCCTTCGCTCCAGCGCGCGGCGGATGGCGCGGGATGCTGCCCCCGATGGCGGCAAGGCTTCCTCCTCAGCTGCTCGCCGGTCTGCCCGGAAGGCCGCCGCTGCTTCTGCTGAGCGTGCGGTCCATCACCTCCGCGCTGAAGCTGAGGGCTGGAAAAAGAAGTACTACGACCTGGCCTACTCCCTGGGTTCGGACAGGTGCCCTCAGCTGGGTCCTCGGCTGGCGGCCGCGGCGCCTGCGCTGGAGGCACTGCTCTTGGACGAGCCCGTGGAGCACACTGATGTCCTTCGACGGAACGTTGCCCTGCATTCGGTTGCCGAGGGGATCGACATCGTCACCGCCTCGCCTGCCGAGCTCAACTCTGCGCAACGTGGGCCTCGCTTGGGAGCCAGGCCCCCATGTGTTGTGGCGGCTTCCTTTTCAGCACTTCGGGTATGCGCGGCGCCCTTTGTGCCTGGAGCTGCCGCCCATCATGGGTTTCTTGATGGAGTCAGTTTTTGTCGTGGTGATTTCAAAGATGTAGTCGTTCCTGTTCCTTGTGGTGAAGATGGCCTTGGTGACAATGCCACCGCGGTGGAGGTCTCAATGGACATGGGTGTTGAGCACATCTCCGTGGTCGAGGAGCAGCTGCGCTCTTGGGAGGCTTTGGGTGCCGCGTCCCGCTCCTTTGTGCGCAGGCGGCGGCGCCTTGACGGCGGCATGCGGTCGACATCAGCTCCGATTTCGGAATCTCCCAACACCGCCAGGGGAGGGTACGACTATTCATGTGACGAGGTCATCGTCGGATGCCCCGTTCCTGGGCAGTGGGTTCCGCGAGACCTGCCGCCCGACCCTGGAGAGGGCCGCCTCTTCTCCTGAGATGTCATTCACCGTGGTGTGTGTGCGCTTGTAGATATTATGTCTAAATTTGGTTTTCGTCTGCCTCGGTGTTCTGGGTATTGGGCTTCCGCCATGTGTTGCAGTGCGCCTTTGGCCGTGTTTTTTTCTTCGTTCGGGGCTTCCAGATGTTTTTTTTCTCATTGTATGTGGCTGCCGCGAAGATCAAGTCGTTCTGCACCTCGTGGGGTTGTACTTTGTTTCAGTTCTCCATTGTTGGCGGCTTGGAGACATGTCTTCTATAATGTCCTGGGCTGGCGTACTCTGTTCGCGGAGCCGCAGCACGTCGCACTGTTCATGTGGGCCATCGTGGAGTTTTTCGTCACGGCCTTCATGTGCAGTGCACTCTTCTGTGGCATGGGCGTTGCTGCCAAAAAAAGAGGAGGCGAAGGAGGAAGAGGCGGAGGAGGAGGACGCAGAGGAGGAGGAGGCGGAGGAGGAGGTGGCGGAGGAGGAGGTGTGGGAGGAGGCGGAGGAGGAGGAGGAGGAGGAGGAGGAGGAGGAGGAGGAGGAGGAGGAGGAGGAGGAGGAGGAGGCGGAAGAGGCGGAAGAGGAGGAAAGGGAACGGGCGGGTATCATCCCGAGGGCCATGGCTTCCCAGAGCTCATGGCTCCATCCTTCCTCTCCCGAGGCCTGCTCTGCCCCTCCCCCCCCCCCCCCCCTCTCGTGCGCGCACACGCCTCTGGGGCCGCGGTGGCCTCCCTCCTCCTGCCCGCCCGTCTGCGGCCTCCCACCCTTCGCTGCCCCTCCACACGCTTCGCTCCCCCTCGCCCCTCTGCGGGGGGAGGAGGAGGAGGAGGAGGAGGAGGAGGAGGAGGAGGAGGAGGAGGAGGAGGAGGAGGATCAGAGGATCAGAGGATCAGAGGATCAGAGGATCAGAGGATCAGAGGATCAGAGGATCAGAGGATCAGAGGAGCATGAAGTATTGATATTGATAGTTTTCCACATTTCCAGGTTTTCCTGTTCTTCCGCGCGGGCTTCAGGGACGAATGGTCGGGCGCGTTCCGTCGCGCAGGAGGAGGAGGAAGAGGAGGAAGAGGAGGGAGAGGAGGAGAAGGAAGAGGAGGAGGAGGAGGAGGAGGAGGAGGAGGAGGAGGAGGAGGAGGAGGAGGAGGAGGAGAAGGGGGACGGGCGGATACCATCGCGAGGGTCATGGCTTCCCAAATATCATGGCCCCCTTCCCTCTTCTCCCGAGGCCTTCCCTGCCCCCCGCCCCCCCTCTCGTTCGCGCACACGCCTCTCGGGCCGCGGTGGCCTCCCTTCGGAGGCCCAGGCCGGCCGAAAAGTTCCAGCCTCTGGCCCGTGCTTCGAGCTCTGCTGGAGGCTTGGGGCCCGTTCCGACAGGTCGAGGGAGGGAGAAGCGACACCACCACCACCTGGGGGGGGCACCTGCAGCGAGGAGGTCCACGTTGCCTCCACGAGCAGGGGGCAGGGGATGCCTGGAGCTAGAGGGGGGGACCACACCACCGGGGAGGGACCCCCCCTGGCCCCTCCCGGTCGTGATCCCTGGTGGTGTCGGTGGTGTCGCTTTTCCTGATTCCCACCCCCCGCCCATGTCGGCACGCCCCTCGCGCGGATCGTGCCCCACAGGTAGCTCCACCTTGAAGTGCAGTGCAGTCACCTCCGAGACACGCGTGAGCGACTCGCGGTCCCAATGGGAGGAGTCTCTCCGCTTCTCTCCGCTCTTGTCGGCGCACCCCTCACGCGGACGGTGCTCCGCTGGCCTGTGATCTCACCGGGAGGGTCCGCAGGGCGACCCCGCCGCGGGCGTTCCAGGTCGCGCGCCCCCGGTGGCCCAGAGCCGGCCGATATGGAACGATCCGGCGATCGAGAAGCCGCCGATCGTTCAAGGTCGGGAGACTCTTCATGGGGGGGGATCCCATGGGGGGATAGGATCCCAGGGGGGGGATCCCATAGGATCCCCTGGGGATCCCATGGAGAGTCTCCCGACAAGGTTCCCAGACCCCCGACGTCACGATTTGTTCGTCATTCCCTGGGGCCGGTTGCTCATCCCGAGTCGTTTTTGTGGACGGCCCCGAGGCCCGGCGAGGGCCCCCAGAGGCCGAAAATGGGGGAAAACCCTCCGTCGTGATGTTGGTCATGGCGTCCACCCCCAGAGGTTTCGACTCATTATCTGGGTCTGGTGTTTCCTCTCGAGTCGCTTTCTGACGCTCCCGAGGCCCTGTAAGTGTCTTCAGAGCCCGAGAATCATGAGGAACCTTCCGTCGTGATTTTTTCATGGCTCTAGGGGGTTCTGGGAAGGTGGAGCGATCCACGCGGCGTCAGAAACCAGAACGCCGCAGGGGCCAGGCGCGCCCCCGTCGAGTCGCCGCCCCGCTCGCCCGCCGCTCTGGTCGATGGGCCGTCCCCGACGCATCGCCGACGTCTCCGAGGCATCGCCGAATGCATGGGCGATACGTCGGCGATGCGGCGGGATCCGTCGACCCCTCCTGCAGGCAACCCACACAATAAGCATGGGCATCCTTCCCAAGGGTACCCCTTGCATCCTTCCCCTGCGGCCCATCCTCAGCGACCTTCGCTGGCCAGCCTCGTTCCGAAAGCGTGAGCGTGGCCCTCCACGGCCCTTGCATCCTCACCGTGCATCCTCAAGATACGGGCCGGCTGCACCCGATCCCATCCAGGAGGCCTCCAGCCAGCCGCCCTCCCCGCCGTGCGCCCTGACTCTGGATCCGCCCTACTTTGGGGAAATTCGTAAGTGGGGCTTGGAATTTCCGCCTTTTTTTCAAGCCCCGCTGATGCCAATTTCCGCCCCACTTTTCTGCTGCTGTTTCCGCCCTACTTCTGTGGATTTTCGCCCCATTTTATGTTGGGTGCAGCAATTTCCGCCCTACTTTTTCGGCCTCTTCTAGGTGGATTTCCGACGCAATTGTAAGTTGGAGAAAAAGCCAGAGTACTGCGGATCCGGAGTCAGGGATCCAGGAGGCCTCCAGCCGGCCGCCCTCCCCGCCGTGCGGACCGTCCAGGCGTCCCCGAGATGGGGCCGGGGCCCGCGCGGGGCCCGAGGGCGGCGCCGCACCCCGCCGAGGCGGCGCGGCGCGACCCGGAGGCCGACGCCTTCCTCTCGTGCAGGCGGCGCGGACGCCTCGGCGATTCGCGGTGCGATCTTCGAGCCTCGGCGGCGCGGATGCCTCGGCGGCGCGGATGCCTCGGCGCTGATGCCTCGGCGCTGCGGTGCGATTCGCGGTGCAGGCGGCGCGGATGCCTCGGCGCTGCGGTGCGATCTTCGAGCAGGGGGTCGACGACAGAGTCGACGACGACGGGATGTCTGGCACTTTTCTGCGACAGCCAGTTTCATCTTTCGCTGCAGAGGCCATTGCCTTAGACGAGGCTGTGCAGGCATTGGCAACCACAGCCGCCTTGCGAAAGGCTAACGGCCGTCAGCACGCTGACCCAGGCCCCGAGGAAAGAAAAGAAAGAAAGAAAGATGTGCCCCAGGATTGATGTGCCACTGGATCTCCGAGAAGTGCGGAGCACGTGTCGCGGAGTCGGCGGAACACTCTTGCGTCTCCCGCAAAGGGACCCCGCAAAGGGGTGCGTACATTGGTGAGAGAGAGAGAGAGAGAGTTCGATCGGTTTCTGCACGGAACCGCCCAAAACAAATGGCCCCCAGCCGCCCATGCTTGCCGATAGGTGGGGCATGCGGGAGGCATCTGTTTGCGGCAGTGTGGTGCACCAACGGATCGAACTCATGCCACCCCTCAGGGCCACCCTTCCTTTTCTTTTCCGGTGGATCCCGACATCCGCTCGGGCGCCCTTGGGCAACCCAGGCGGGTGCCCAGACGGCCCACGTGAGCAATTCCATGATACGCGCCCTCGAATTTGTTCCGTGGCGTGGTTGTCCGACGCCGGAGCCAGTGGGGGGAACAGCGATTGGGCGCTCGGAAGCGGGGGCCAATGGTACACGGGGGAATCCAGGACTGCAGGAGAGCGACCTGATGATGTGGGCACCCAGCGGCCTCTGCACCACCACCGCGGGCCCAAGCGGTGCACGCCTCTCCGCCCCCCCCGCGCGTGGATTGCCCCCAGCGAGCGGACGCCACTAGCGGCACCTGCTCGAGGTGTGCGCCAGCGACTGTTGAGTCGGGCATGTGTCCCTCTACAGGAAGGATGCTCAAGAGTTGTTAACACCTCTGCTTACTACTATTATTGTTTTTTCGGATACCCCAAATAATGTTCTTCCAAAATTCGCCTGTAGGAGGACATGCCCGACCTACAGCGAGAGGCCCCCCCCCCACCCCTCGCAGGCGCCCCACGGAGCCCGCCATCCACGTGCGCTTCCGCTGCGCCCTGAAAGGCCACCCGCGGCCGGCGGTAGGGCCACGACTGATGGGCCTGCTTTCCACCACCACCACCATAAGTTGGAGGAGGAAGGAGGAGGAGGACGAATAAGACGAGGATGAATAAGAGGAGGAGGACGAGGAGGAGGACGAGGAGGAGGAGGAGGAGGACGAATAAGAGGAGGACGAATAAGAGGAGGAGGAGGAGGAGGAGGAGGAGGACGAGGAGGAGGACGAATAAGAGGAGGAGCAGGAGGAGGAGGAGGAGGAGGAGGAGGAGGAGGAGGACCCCCTCCCCCTCCAACTTCTGGTGGTGGTGGTGGTGGGAAGACAGGCCCATCAACGACCAGAGAGCCACGGGCCCGACCCCTCCGAGGCACTGCTCGAGCTGGGCCGACCTCCCCCAGGGCTCTCTGCGACTCCTCCGGCTCGCTCCGAGCCGGTTTTGATCGACGATCCATTCGATTCGATTTCGGATTCCGATCTCGATTCGATTCGATCCCGATCAATTCGTTTCGATCCCGATTCCATTCGATCGATTCCGATCCCGATCGATCGATTGGATCGACGATCAATTCCGATTGGATCGACGACCGACGATCGATTCCGATCCCGATTGGATCGGCGATCGACAATCGATTCCGATTCCGATTCCGATTGGATCGACGATCGTTTCCAATCCCGATTCGCTTCGACCTCGGATTCAGGACTTGGGCTGGGGTTTCTGCAAGGAGGCCTTACTGTTAAGTCGGGCGTGTCCCTCTACAGGGTGGATATTCAAAAATAGTCAAAAAATAGTTTGGGGACGATTTTTTTTCATAATTGTTGAGTCATTTTTTTGTTGCTGCTTTTTTAGGAGTTTTTATTTTTCGTCCCAAATCCCCCTGTAGGGGGACACGCCCGACTTAACCTTGCTGCTGCCTGCCGATCCCCTTCGATTCGACTCCTCCCGACTTGGCTGCCGATGTTTAACCGCCGATCCGACCACTCTTTCGATCGCCGATTATCGACGCGTCGCTTCGATATCCTGGGCTCTCCGGCCTCCGCGGAGGGGCTCCCTGACTCCAGATCCGCCCTACTTTGGCCTTTTCTCCAACTCAAAATTGCGTCGGAAATCCATGGGAGGCCGAAAAAGTAGGGCGGGTATTTCTGCACCCAGTATAAAGTAGGGCGGACATGACCAGAAGTAGGGCGGAAACAGCAGCAGAAAGGTAGGGCGGAAATTGGCACCAGCGGGGCTTGAAAAAGAAGGCGGCAATTCCAAGCCCCACTTTACGAATTTCCCCAAAGTAGGGCGGACATCCGGAGTCAGGGCGCCCTCTCGCGAGCCCGGGCGACTGCGCCCGGCGGGACCGGAGATGCACGGCGTGGCCCCCCCGGAGGTCGGGGCTTCGGTCTTCGTGCCGGGACGGCCGCGCCGTGGCGGCCCCGTGGGCCCCGACGCGTGGGAGGCCGACCGCGGCCTCATGAGCGAGGCCCGAAAAGCACCGTCCGCCCCATACCCACGACGTCCGGAGGGTTTCGTCGCGCCGCGGCCCCCCGAGGTCTCGACGTGATTTCTTGACGGTCCCAGACCTCCCCGACGCAGTTCTTGAAAAAATTCAGCCGGAGGTGTTTCTCGATTTTCGGCCTCCATGGCGGCCCTCGCCGGGCCCCGGGGCCGTCAAACGACGACTCAGGACGCAAAGCCGGTCTTGGGGAATGGGTCGAGACTTCCCGGGACCCCGCATTGACAAAAATCAAGACATCGGATCTCTGGGGCACTGCGGCCCGGCAAGGGCCCTGCATGAGGCCGAGAACTGCGAAGCCCTTCCCGTCACGATTTGTTTTTACTTCTCCGGGGGGTCTCTAGGGCTGTTTCTCCATGGCGCGGCTCGAGGACCTCAGGGGCTGGGCGTGGCATACGGGCGAGGGGGGAGAGCCGCAGTCCGGGGCGGCCCGTGCAGCGGGCGGCCCGGCACAGCTCGCCGCTGAGGAGGGCGCCGGGCCATGGCGGCCCCGCGGCCCCGCGCGGGGGGCTGCTCCTGGGCCGGTGCTGGCCCCCCCCCCCCTGACTCCAGATCCGCCCTACTTTGGCTTTTTCTCCAACTTAAAATTGCGTCGGAAATCCACCTATGAGAGGCCGAAAAAGTAGGGCGGGTATTTCTGCACCCAGTATAAAGTAGGGCGGACATGACCAGAAGTAGGGCGGAAACAGCAGCAGAAAGGTAGGGCGGAAATTGGCACCAGCGGGGCTTGAAAAATTAGGCGGAAATTCCAAGCCCTACTTACGAATTTCCCCAAAGTAGGGCGGATCCGGAGTCAGGGCCCCCGTACACAGCCACGACGCTGAAAGAAGGACCGCTCCCAGACCCCCCCGAGCAATGAGCAAAATCACGACGGGTATGTTTTTGTTCCCCCATATTTTCGGCCTCTGGGGGCTCGGGATGAAGAACCGGTCCCGGGGAAGAGGTCGAAACCTCTGGCGGTCGATGCCATGAAAGAAGCATGACGTCGGGGGTCTGGGTCCGGTTCTTGGCCCCCCCCCATACAGCCAAGCCGCTGGGTTCGGGAGGGGCTCGACGTTCCTTTGGTCCTTCCGCAGTTGTGCCTCGAGCCCTCCTGCACCCGAGCGCTTTGGGGCCTAAACGAGGGCCTGGTTATGACTCGTGCCCCTTCCTGCGCCTGGGGTCGCTATGACATGAGCTCGTCGTGGTGTCATGGCAGGAACTGCATATGTCACCCTTTCGCGCGCCAGGTCGGGCCCGCGGCAGCGCGAAAGAAGGAAAGAACGCGTTCCTTCTTTCAGCAGCCCGACTGTAGTCCCAGCACCCCGGGAGTCGGACAGAGACACGACGGAGGTCCTCCGCTAACGTGTTGGGCCGCCTTGGTCCCTCACGGGGCCTCGCGGTCGTCACACACGTCTCAGGATGAAAAGCGAGCCCTGGGGAGTGAGACGAGACCTCGGGGGTCGAGCTCATGACAGAATCCTGGCGCCGGGGGTCTGGGTACCTGGCGGCGCCTCTGCAGCAGGCTCATCAAGGCAGGGACCGGCCTGCCGGCAGATGCCCCCGCGGAGGGCTCGCATCCCCCGGCGATTGCCAGGGACCGGGAGAATCCCTGGACGGTCCGCGCTGCCCGTGAGAGGTTTAGTTTTGTGCAGTTTTGCTTTCTTCCCATGTTCCCATGGGGTAACGGATCCTGCAGGTTTTTCGCCACCTTCGGTATCCTGGGTGCCTCCTCCATTTCCACTGGCCCCCATGACCGCGTCAGGAGCCGAGGCAGGGTGCAACGCCTGTCCCGGGGCAGGGACGGGGGCATGCCCCAGGGTTTCACGTTGGCTGTTTTTCAGGAACTGCTTCCCTCGGGAGGTACAGGCCTCGGGAAAAAATAGCGAACACTCATGCCACATTCATCTGTGAACGCCTCCCCCTCCCCCCAATGTTCAAAGTTGGCGGTGGGTCTCATGGGTTGCACTTCGACCGCAGTCTCCCCCGCGCGTGCCAACCTTGAGTTTGGGGGGCAGGGGGGGTGTTCACTAATTGTTTCCCTCTACCGTAGCATGGACAAGGCGGCCGTCTCTGAGGGCCAATGTCGCCCAGAAGCTACCACACCGCTGAAAATCCCGACCGTAGCCCGGGACCCCATTTTTCTGCTGCATCTCCCGGGCCGAGTCGATCCGCGATGGCCCCATGGGCCCAAACCAAAAACCAGGCGAGGAGGACGCCCGGTGCGAAGGGCACGCGCGACGCCAGGATTTTGGGGGTCACCGATATCATGTGCGGCGAAGCAGATCCGAGGGGCCAGGGAAAGGAAGGGGGGGATCCCATG